TGGATGAGGACAATGGGGGATGGGGAGGGGGCGGAGAGTGGGGTGGGAAATTGGTGGAGGGGGGAAGAAATGAGGAACCTTTGTAATAATATGAACAATAAAGATTGATTTAAGAAAAAAAAAAAAAAAATACCTAGGCAAAGAAGGACAAAGCACTCAAAAAAAAAAAAAAGAAAATGCCTGGCCCAAAATGGTTAGTGGCCAAGTTAGTACTAGAGCTCGGCTCTTTAGGCACATGAACTAGTGTTCCATTATCTTCCACAAAATACATTGGTGGGTGCCTGAAATCTATAAGTCAGGAGTATATGTAATATCATAATAGGACATAATTATACAAAATTGTCAGGAAAATATTTGTGCAAATTCAATAGTTTGTTGCCCTCCCAACAGCATTTTTAATGCCCACACACTACTGTGATAGTTAAGGTCACTTGTACAGAGCTAAATAAGATTATATACATAACTATTTCCTTACATAATTAAGTTGAATTGATATGAAAATATTAAAAAGATAAGAGACTTTCTGAAGTTCAGAGCACTTATCAATTACCAACTATAAATTCTTTAAATATATTTTTATTGATGTTAGAGAAGAAGGGAGAGGGACCGAGAGATAGAAACATCAAATATTTTTATTGATATCAGAGAAGGGAGAGGGAGTGAGAGATAAAACATAATGATGAGAGAATCACTGATCGACTGCCTCCTGCATGCCCACTAATGGGAATGGAACCAGCAACCTGGGAATCAAACCTAGAACTCTTCAGTCCACAGGCTGATGCTCTATCCACTGAGCCAAACTAGCTAGGGCACCAGTTATAAATTTGATACACACACTATAGTTAGTCTGAGAAATTAATTCATAGACCAAGATATTTTCACTAGTTCAATTGAATCACTTGGAGGCCTCCTCTATGCCAGGAACAATGCTCTGTACTGAATAAAAGAATATGTACCTTTGAAAGATTCACATATGGTGGAAGATGCAGACATAGATAATTTCCAAAAATATGGTGTTAATATGGAGATATGTAAAACACAGTATGATTCTATAGTAGCAAGCAAATGCACATTTTGAACAGCTTCAGAAAGAAATGAGGGAGTGGTCAAAGAAGGAACTTTAGAATAAGGAAGGCACAGAATAGAGAAATTAGTGATATACCTTAATGGCCTCTACTTGTTGGCAGATCATTTTCAGTAAAGAATTTTGATCTTCTGCCCATTGAGGTGGTGCTTTGGGAGAATACTAAAAATAAATAAATAAATGAGTATTTAGAACAGAAATGTATTCCACAATGAAATGATTCACTTCTTTCCCACTTACCTTGTAACTTTTATTTGGTGACAGAGAATATTTGGTAGGAGATGGTGTGGAATATTTCATTTCTGAATCTGTATTACGCAAAGAACCATTTTTATAAAGAGGACCTCCTTCACTATAGTCATCGAGTTGCTGCATAACTGAATTGAACATATCTTTTACAGACTCCAGGGGCACAGGCAACTAAAAATAAAAAACATAAATCAAAGGTCTTAGTTTGCAAAAATATCAAATTAAAAATTCTTAAATAAATTTATTATTTTATTTAATTAATTTATTTTTTCTCACTTATGTATACCAAACACTTTATATCTTTTTTTTTAATGATTCTGCCTTTTATTATTAGATCAAAACAGATCAAAACAGATAAAACAGGGAGAAGTAGCAACAAAAGGACTGTCATACAATGAGCTTCTGCTGGTTCTCAGGCAAGGACCCCTGTGTAGGAGTTGATGCCTCAATCCACAGCAGACCCTTAGAACATCACTTGGGCTCTAAAGTGCATCTGCTTGGTGGCATTGTTCTTCATTCCCGTCTTCAGCAGGCATTTTGACTTCATCCTCTGAACATACTTCATGTCCATGTCCCGTTTGTTCCTAAGAGCTGCTCCTGTGCTGTCAGTCCATCCCAGGGCTCTGTATTGCTTGAGTACCTGGCCCAATGCCTTCTGATTCTTGGCAACTGTCACAGCTCTTGACAAACCAAATCATTATTTGTATCTCATCAAGGAATGATGGTCCACTCTGGCACCAGAGGGTAGAATCAGCTCCATAGTTTCATCATCATAATCCAAGGTCTTATCTGAGGGCAACTCCTCGGTCTCATCAGGCTCCTCCCTTTCCTTGTGGTCTGGGTAGCTACTCCTCAAGGAGAAGTCTGTAAATTCCAAAGCAGCATCACCATCTATGAAGAGCTTACAGTGGCTTTTGTCATTCATGTGTGCTTGCCCAGCTTCCTTAGAATAAAAGGACTTCCCTTTCTCATTGCACCATAAGCAAATCTTCCCAACACCAACTTTTTCTCCCAAACACTGAATCAGTCCCTTTAAGATCCGAAAGATATTCTGTATCAGGAATAAAGAAGCTATGGATTTTAGTCATATGAGCTACTTTCTTCATATGGGAACCTGAATGATGGAACAAAATAAGGAGTCCTTTATAAAGATGGCACCAAAAGGAGTGCCTCTCCCAGCCTCTTCCTCCTCTGCATCCTGCTCCTCCAACTCCTCCATCGACTCAGCATCTTCACATTCCATTTCATCAGAATCAGTATCTTTTCCAGTTGTCTCCATCCAGATCCCCCTCCTCTCTTCCTCGCCCTGCTGCTTTGCCAGCTTCTTTGCCTGCCGTTCAAACCACTGTAATCAGGGAGATTTCTTGTCTGGGTTTCGGTCGTCTGCCACAGGTCCTCCTTCAGCAACTGTCCCAGGACCTCTGGACTCCTTCCTAGGAGCTGGAGGGGCCCTCTTGGGAGAAAGCTGGACTTTGATGACCTGCTGGATAGCTGTATTCATGGCATCCTTATCAACACTGCCCACACCCAACCGTTTTTTCCAAATTCTTTTCACTTATCTCCCCGCTGTGATTCACTATCTTCCTCTCCAGCTACACGTGCCACCAGGACTTCAGATGGTTTTCATAGGTGTTCAAACAGGCGAACTTATTACATCAGACAGTGCAGAAGGTGACTATGCCCTTGCTCTCCTGGCTCAACCACAGCCCACTGTGGTTCCCCCCCCCCCCCCCCCCCCCCCACGCTCCTGGAAGCCCTTAGCGGTGACAAGGGCCATGTCAACCATCTTCCGCTTCAGGTTGTAGCATTGCCAATCCATCTTATAGTGGGCCCGCTGCAGCTTGGATTATTAAGTGCCACCCAGTAGATAATGCAGGTATACGTTGCCATCCCTAGTGATCTCAGCTAGGCCCCAACACCATGATTCACTCAAACCTTAACTCGCCTCACAGCCCGCAAGAGGTTGCACTTTATACTTTAAATAAGCCCGGGGCATGAAATTTGTGCAGGGGTTAAGGGGTGTTGTCCCTCTACCCAGCCTGCACCTTCTCCAATATGGGACTGCTCGAAGGACCAGGATCAGGCCTAAGTGGGCAGTCGGACATCCCTCTCACAATCCAGGACTGCTGGCTCCCAACTGCTCACCTGCCTGCCTTCTTGATTCCCCTAACCGCTTCTGGCCTGCCAGCCTGATCACCCAACTACTCCTCTGCCAGCCTGATTGATGCCTAACTGCTCTCCTGCCAGCCTTTTTGCCCCTAACTGCAGCCATTTTTGTTGGGATTTATTTATCTTCTATAATTGAAACTTTGTAGCCTTGAGTGGAGGCTTAGGCACGCCAGGGTGTGCAGAAAGCTTGGCTTCCTCCATTGCCAGGGAAACCCAAGCATCCTGCTAGCTCCGCGGCCACAGCCATCTTGGTAGGGTTAAATTTTCAGAGGGAGAGGGAGAGACAGAAACATCAATGATGAGATTCACTGACTGGCTGCCTCCAGCACATCCCTATTGGGAATGGAGGCTGCAACCTGGGCATGTGCCTGACCAGGAATTGAACCATGACATCCTTGTTCATAGGTGATGTTCAACCACTGAGCCATGCTGACCATGTGGTTTCTACTCTTTCTGTTAGTCATTATAATGGCAGAATGTTAACTTGGAACTTTTTTTTATTAAATATATTTTTATTGATTTCAGAGAGGAAGAAAGCAGAGGAAAGAGACAGAAACATCAATGATGAGAATCATTGATCAGCTGTCTCCTGCACACCCCCTACTGGGGATTGAGCCTGTAACCCTGGCATGTGCCCTTGACCAGGAATCCAACCCAAGATCCTTCAGTACAGAGGCCAATGCTCTATCTACTGAGCCAAACCAGCTAGGGCTGGGAATTTTTTCAATGACAGCAAAATATGTTTACTAATTTATTTTGAATGTGAAAAAAAATGTAGATGCTAGAAGGCACCAGACAACATAAATTCTAATCCGAGAGCAGCAACACAAATTAATGCAATATTTGTAAAGTTGAATATAACTGACATTAACACCATCATGACAATTTCAAACTGTTGGAAGTTAGAAAAAAGATGATAAGAAATGCTCTGAAGTTGTCAGATTTCTGCTTTTGATTTCCGCAAAAAATTTTTAATTGTCAAATCCTTGAGAACTAGTCTTAGATAGCAATAATTCTAAATAAAAAACAAAAATAAATGTCCTATCTTAGAAACCTTTTCTAATTCCCCATACAAGTATTTTTGTAACAGTATAAACCTAGATTCTCAATTTTGAAAAACACCAAACCTAAGACAAAGCAATGCTATTAAAATATTTAAACATACTGTGCATTAATTATGAGGTATTATTACTGAGCACTTTTGAAATGACCAAATTATAACACAAAATCAAAAATACTTATCAACCAATTGTCAATAATAAGAAAGAAAAAAAACGTGCAACTTACTTTCTTGACTACTGAAAGATTTGAATCACTGTCATCTAAAATCTTTATTAGGTAGTCCCGGGTCTTTCTCAGGTAATTTTTGCATTCTTCTTGTTCTTCAGGAGAATGGGCATCATTTTCAATGTCTTCTGCTTTTCTGTGAAAAATCTATACAAAGAATGCTTTTATGAAACAATTGGGCTTTACTGCTTGTTGTGGGTTGTTTTTTTTTTTAAATATGGGATGCTTCACAAATGTGCATGTCACCATTGCACTGGGCTGTCCTAATCTCTGTATCATCTCAATTTTAATGTATGTGCTGTCAAAGCAAGTACCAATTAGGTTTTTGAAAGTAAAACTTTTAATTGTACATCTACTTACCAATGCAAGATTCCAATAAGAAACAACATTTTTTATTGATTCAAAAGCAGTCATAGCATCTTCTATATTTCCATTAACAGCATCCAATATAGCAAATGTTATGTGTGCTTCTTCTTCATATTCACCAATTTCAGATGCCTAAAGACATTTAGTAATTTTTATTCAAGTTGCCTTAACCCAGAATATCAAACCCAAATGATTTCCCAAAGAATTGTATGTTCTAGTGAGTCTAATAACTCAGTACTCTTTTGTGCCATATTTTACTTCTAAGAGCTAGTGCATTTAGAAAGCAAGACTAACATTAAATAGTCAGGCAACTAATTTAAGCAGTTTATGCCCTCCATTTGTTTATTTACATGCTGGAAATCCACATCCCCAGTTAATTAACCAAGGGACCCTCCATTACCTGGATGTCTGCACTATGAAAGTGTTTAAACAGAGGGTCAGTAGGTTCAGGAATACTAATCTTCTTTTTGATCATCTTCAATAATGGCAAAACCTTCTTCCAATAATGAACACTTCTGCCTATGTATTCCCGCTGATCATAAAAAGAATTAAGATCGCTGCCCTAAAATAAAATAGAAATTTAGGAGCACCCAACCTAAGGAACACAAATGATCAGACCAAAAAATGCATTTTTAAATGGATGAGAAACTGGTTAAATTACAAATCAAGGCAAAACAGAATTTCAAGTCATAGCCTCAACTCTCCAATAGTAGAATAACTACATACCTAATACCAGTGATCATTCCAAACTCAATTGTTAAACACTCTCCTATTTTTTTTGTTTTAATATATATATTTTTAACTTATTTCAGAGAGGAAGGAAAAGGAGAGGTAGAAACATCACTGATGTGAGAGAATCATTGATCAGCTGCTTCCTGCAGGCCTCCCACTGAGGAGATCAAGCACACAAGCCAGGCATGTGTCCTGACTGGGAATACAACTGTGACCTCCTGGTTCATATGTTGAGACTCAACTACTAAGCCACAACTGCCTGGCTACCCACAACTGCATGACTAGACTTAACTGTTAAACATTTCCAATGACACTAACCTAATAAGGCAGCCCAATCCACTTATTTTTAATTGCCACTTTTAGATAGAATAGTCAAAGGTCTAAACACCTTGTCACAGAACAGACCAAAACATTTTATAAAGATCTATAAATGCCCTATGCTACAAAGCAATGTGCTACTGAATGTAAAAAAATTTCCAACTGGACAATAAATATAAACTTAATTATTAAGTAGTAATAACAACAGCTAATACTTATGTAACATTTACTATGTCAGACCACTTTTCAAGTGCTTATATATTAACTATATTAACAACTATGTAGCAAGATTTAAAAAATAACTTTCTCCTAGCATATCTGTTTTAGAACTGAATGACTTTCAACGAAAAGTTTATGACTTAAAAAAAAAAAAAAATAAGTTAATGTTTTTAAAAATAAACTCACCGTTTTCTGAAGGTATTTGGCCCAATGTATAAGGAGGGCGGGTTGAAGGCCATGTTTTTCCTGGCCCCTTAGAGTATTTATGTCCCGCTGAACTAGAAGCCGCAACTTTGCTGAGGTTCCAGGGCTAAAAAATTATTTTTATTAAATAAAGTTGATTTATAAACATGCATTTCAACACTTGTGTTTGTTAATCATCACACTACAATTAAATTAAATACCTAGGAAATATGTTTTTAAAGTAAATCGGTGTTTAAATAAAGCCATGCAGTAAGTTAAAGGAATGTTTTTGTTTTACTACTTACATTGCTTTTCTGTGAATTAGATTACAAACTGCATCCCACCAAGACTTTTGTCTCTCTGTACAAAGTTGTTTACACACAGGAAATGGCAAGCATAGTGGCTGATAGAAGTTGTAGTGAGAACTACATTTTTCCTTCAATTGTAAGTCGCTGTTATATATTACCCCAAGTAGAAATACCTGTTTTATTTAAAGAAAAATCAATTAGAAAAAAAAATTTTTTAAGCTCAAAATATTTAATTTGCTCAAATATTTGCTTACTTCAAGATCTAAAATACATATTGACTCAGGTGCATTTGTTTCAAGTCTTGAGGTTTCCTGAGGCAAATGATGAAAAAGTTGTTTCAGCCATTTTCGAATTGCAGGTAACGTAGGCAACAAATTCCACTGCAAACCAAGCCAGGTAAGGTGCTGAAGGCTACCATTATGTGCTCGAATGGCACCTGAAATAAAAAGGAGGGGGAGTGGGGAGAATTGGCATTGAAAACTTCTTATATATCATCAGGTTTTCCAACAACTGAGATTAAATATATCTTAATTTTCTAAGTCAGAACTGGGGAAAAGTCTATGACAACCAAAGTCTTATGTTTTTTTGTATGTTTGTTGTGGGTTTTTTTTTTTTACCTTTTATCCAAGGATATTTTCCCACTGATTTTTAGGGAGAGTGGAAGAGAGAGGGAAAGGCAGAGAGAATTATCAATAAAAGAGAAACACATCCATTGGTTGCCTCTTGCATGAGCCCTGACCAGGGCCCAGGCCAGGGGGAAGCCCTGCAACCAAGGTACGTGCCATTGACCAGAATCCAACCTGGGACCCTTTGGCCCGCAGGCCAACACTCGATCCACTAAGCCAAACCAGCCAGGGCTTTTCCTTTTTTTCTTTTAATATATTTTTATTGATTTCAGAGAGGAAGGGAGTGGGGAAGAGAAATAGAAACATCAATAATGAGAATCCGAGAGAAACCAAGATGGCTACATAGGTAAATGCATAAACTGCAGCCTCGCACAACAATTTCAAAACTACAAATAAAAGACAAAATGGACATTATCCATAACCACGTGAAAGCTGACTGACTGGAAATTCTACAACTAGAATTTCTACAACTACAAAGAGAAAACCACAAGGAAAATCAGAGGAGCTGTAAAAGTCTGCAGTACGGAGACAAGGCGCACACATGCAGAGAGGACAGAACCAGAGAGGACAGGGTGGCTGAGTGCCTGGCTGGTGTTCTCTAGTGGGAAGGAGATAAAAGCTTCGGACTGCACTGAACCCCAGTTCTGACTGCACTGAACCCCAGTTCCAGCAGAGATCCTGGGGACCCAGACTCATACAGAAGGAATCTGGGCTATGAGGCGGAAACTCAGGGGAGCGGTGAAAGGCAGAGCTCCGGAGGTGCGCACGTGAATGCACGCAGAGGACAGACTGTTGACTGTGCCACTGGATTGCCCTAGTGGGAAGGAGACAAAAACTCCGGACTGCACTGATTCATTGGGGGAGAGACTAGACTGTCTGGCATCCGGTGAAACTCGAGGGAGCCTTTCTCTCAGAGGTACTTGCAGGGAGTACCAAGGGACACTGAGATCCAGGAACCTCATAGGGCGGGGCTGACAGGAGCCAAGGCTGTAGGCTCCACCCTGAAACTCCACCCATCCAAGCTGAGCACAAAGGCTTTTGCAATTTTGCAAGTCTAGTCGAATAAGGCTCTCTCTTAGCATAGACATAGCTGATCCTCACAGCCAATTGCCTGGAGATCAACTCCTCCCACTGATACCAACAACAATCAAAAACTTAACTACAACAAGGCTGTACACACAGTCTACAAAGGGGTGCACCAAGAGTGTCCCCCTCAGGAAACTGGGCAGGCCGAGCCACTGGCCCATATAGGACACCAAGCACACAAAGCTACCCTATCAACTCAGGGAAGCAGCGAAAATGCAGAGAAAAAGAAACAGATCACAAATGAAAGAAATGGAGGAAAACAAACGACTGGAGATAGCTATGGGGGGAAAAAAGAGGAACAACTATAATAATCTGAACAATAAAGATTAAATAAAAAATAATAAGAATCATTTATCAGCTACCTTCAGCATGCCCCCTACTGGGGATTTAGCCTGAGACCCAGGTGTGTGCCCTGACCAGGTATCAAACTGTGACCTCCTAATTCATAAGACAATGCTCAACCACTGAACCACATCAGCCAGGCTGGCCTTAATATTCTTATTAAAGATATTCACACTTATATGTCTAGGAATTTTACAATAGAGACAGTTCTTTCCAAGTCCATTTGAGGAAAAAAGAAAAAGACTCACTAGAACTCAATAAAACAAAATCTGACAAGGGCCAAATAAATAGTTACCCACTAAGAAACCTTGAAACAATGGATTTGCCTTTCAGTAAAGAGTCATGAAATCAATGTGCTACCACAACATTAATCCATTAGGAAAGTGAAGAGAATTTTTCTCATAAGAGATTCAGTATTGAAAAAGTTATGAGCTTCTGGATGCATAGAGAGGTACAGACTTTCTAGCAATTTGCAAGAGATTTAAACATGTTCATCAACTTTGTCCCAGTAATTATTTTTAGGAATCTATTGAAAATTTTGAAATGGAGACATTTTATATTATTTTTCATCAAAGTATTTTTTTTTTGAGTTTTTAAATTGATTTTAGAGAGAGGAAGGAAGAGAGAAAGGAAAGAAGGGAGAGAGGAAGAGAAGAAGAAAGAGAGAAGGAGAGCAAGAGAGAAACATCAGTTGACTGCCTCCTGCTTTGTGCCCATACAGGGGATTGAACTGGCAACCTGGGTGTGTCCCTTGACACAATCAAACTCACAACATTTTAGTGTACGGGACAACGCTCCAACCAACTGACCCACGCTAACTAGGGCCACAGTTTACTTTTAATAGTGGGAAAAAAACTGAAAATGACTTGAATACCCAACAATAAAAAGCAGCAAGCAAATTATGACTAATTCATGAAATGTATAATATTGCCATTAAACGTCATATTTACAGAGGTAGATATGATGGGAGAGAATTGCTGAAAGACAAATCATATGTAGAAGTACAAACAACTATTTAGGATAAAAACATATGCCACCACTACCCCTACCAACTTCTTAACCCCCCCCCCCAAAAAAAAAACATCTGAAAGGAATACAGGAAAATCTTAACTCATTATTTCTGGGTCAGTGGTC